GAAATGTTCAGAGCCCTGGAATTAGAAAACCAAAGGGGAAGAACACACAGGCATTTCTCAAGCTGGGAGAACTGAAGAAAAATTCAAGCCCTGAGTTGCAGTACTGAAGGATTTTCTGAGCAAAATATTGAATGATGCAGGAAGCATCAGAAGAAGTTAGAAGGGATACACAGAGTTGCTGTACCAAAAAGAATTGGTCAACATTCACCCATTTCAAGTGGTAGCATGTAATCAAGAACCAGTGGTACTGAAGGAAGAAGTTGAAGCTACACTGAAGGAATTGGTGAAAAATAAGTCTCCAGGAATTGATGAATTATTCAAGGAGATATTTCAACAAATAGATGGCATGCTGGAGGCACTCACTCATTTATGCTAAGAAATTTAGAAATCAGCTACCTGGCCAACCAACTGGACAAGACCCATAATTGTGCCCATTCCAAAGAAAGATGATCCAACAGAATGTGTAAATTATCAAATAATACCATTAATATCACATGCAAGTAAAATTTTGCTGAAGATAATTAAAAAATGGTTGCAGCAGTATATTGACAGGAAACTGCCATAAATGCAAGTCTTCCTCCATTCAGAAGAGGGCACGGAATGAGGGATATCATTACTGATGTCAGATGGATATTGGCTGCAAGCAAAGAATACCAGAAAGAGGTTTACTTGTGTTTTATTGACTATGCAAAGGCATTTGACTGTGGATAATAACAAATTATGGATAACACTGTGAAAAATAGGAATTCCAGAACACTTAATTGTGCTCATGAGGAACCTGTACATAGATCAAGAGGCAGTCGTTCAAACAGAACAAGGGGATACGGAATTGTTTAAAATCAGGAAAGATGTGTGTCAGAATTGTATCCTATCATTCTACTTACTCAATTGGTATGCTGAACAAATAATCCAAGAAACCGAACTGTATGAAGAAGAATGTGGCATCAGGAATGGAGGAAGACTCATAAACAACCTTCAATATGCAGATGATGTAACCTCACTTGCTGAAAATGAAGAGGACTTGAAACATTTACTGATGAAGATCAAAGACTGCAGTCTTCACTGTGGATTATACCTCAACATAAAGAAAACAAAAATCCTCACAACTGGATCAATGAGTAACAGCATGATAAATGGAGAAAAGTTGAAGTTGTCTCACAGTCAACGCCCATAGAAGCAGCAGACAAGAAATCAGACAAATTGCACTAGGAAAATCTGCTGCAAAAGACCTCTTCACAGTGTTAAAAAGCAAAGATGTCAGTTTAAAAACTAAAGTGTGCCTGACCCAAGTCATGGTATTTTCAATTGCCTTGTACACATGTGAAATCTGGACAACGCGTAAGGAAAAACACAAAAGAATTGATGCATTGTAATTGTGATATTGCCAAAGAATATGGAAAATACCATGGACTGCCAGGAAAAAAAAAAAAAAAACACTGCCATTGAGTCGAATCCGACTCACAGTGACCCCTCTGGGTTTCCGAGGCAGTATCATTATGGAAGTAGATTGCCTAGTCTTCCTTCCGAAAGAGTGGCTGGTAGGTTTGGACCACCAGCCTTCTGGCTAGCAGTCAAATGCCTTAGGCACTATGCCACCAGAGTTCCTGAGGACTGCCAGAAGAATGAACAAATCTGTCTTGAAAGAAGTACAGCTGGGATGCTCCTTGGAAGCGAGAATGGCCAGACTTAATCTCACGTACTTTGGTCACATTGTCAGAAGGGACTGGTCCCTGAAGAAGGACATCATGCTTGGTAAAGAACAGGGTCAGCAAAAAAAGGGGAAGATCCTCCAGGAGATTGATTGACACAGTGCTGGCAATGATGGGTTGAAGAATAGCAAAGATTTTGAGGATGGTGCAGGAGCAGGCATTCTTTTGTTCTGTTGTACATAGGGTTGCTGTGAGTCGGAGTCAAGTTGACCACACCTAATAACAACAACCAGCCACTCCTCGGAAGGAAGATGGGGCAATCTACTTCCGTAGTGATATTGCCTCGGAAACCCAAGGAGGGGTCACTATGAGTCAGGTCTAACTCAATGGCACATAACAACAACAACAATAACAACAACATCTTAGTGGGAGTGACATAGTATCTCATTGTGGTTTTGATTTGCATTTTTCTGATGGCTAATGACATTGAGCATCTTTTCATGTGTCTGGCATTTGAATATCCTTTGGTGAAGTGTCTGTTCATGTCCTTTGCCTGTTTTTTTTTTTTTTTTATTTAGTTATTTGTCTTTTTGTTGTTAAGTTGTAAAAGTTTTCTGTGTATTTTAGTTATTAGACTATATTGATTATATTGTTCCCAAAGATATTTTTCCAAGTCTGTGGTTTATCTTTCAAAGAACTCTCTTGGTAAAGTTTTTCGATGAATATAAGTATTTAACTTTTATGAGTTCCCAGTTAATCTGTTTTGTTTTTTATTGCTTATACATTTGTTATATCAAAGGAAACCATGAAGTTTATGGTTTTAGACTTAACATTTAGGTCCTTGATGCATTTTGGATTAATTGTTGTATATGATGTGAGGTATGGATCGTATTTTATTTTTCTGCATGTGGAAATCAGTTTTGCTGGCAGTATGTATTGTAGAATCTTCCCTTATCTTTTTAGTAGAATGTATGATGATATCTTCTGTTTAATTCCATTTCTTTCCCCTTTTAATTCTCAATATTAATAATTTGTGTTTTACTTTCTTATCAATCTGACTTGATGTTTATGTACAGGTATGTGTCACTTAACATCCATGATATGTTCTGTGAAATACAGTGTTATGTGATTTGGATGTTGTATGAACATCATATTAAAACCTTATGGGAACCAGGTTCGGGTCATCCTTGTCACTTCTGCTGCTGCTGGAACTGCTGAAGAAGGCTGGAGGAATGGGCTAGCATTGGTGACTGAGAAGGGCAGTGGCAGGAGGACAGCAAGAGAAATATAGCAAGGAGGGAGTGGAGCATGCCTATCCATGCCCGCTATTCCACTTGCCTGAGTGGAACAGAAGCAGGCCAGCCCTAGTACCTCCCCACTCTCACCTGCCCATGGAACAAAGCCCAAGAGTCCATGCCCAAAGCTATGTTCTCTGCCTCTCTTGCCTGAATCTTTAAAACCATTAAGAGAAAATAAAAGGAGAGCTGCTTTTCCCCTACCTCTCCCCCCAAAAAAAGTCTTATGGAACCACATATGTATATGTAGTTGGACACTGTCTGAACAGATGTTAAGCAATGCATACCTATATTGATGTTTTCAATAGCATTTGGCTTTAGTGACTTCTTTTTTTCCACTTAGTTTTAGTTCATTTCACCCTTTTTTCCCCTTGCTTTTTTTGGTAAAAGCCTAGGTTATGATTTGAGACATTTTTTCTTTTCTAAAATAAGGACTTAAAATACCTTGTTTTTTTCTAAAATTTCTTTAGGTGCTTCATACAGATATTGATATGCTTTATTTTCATTTATTTCAAAATACTATGTCCCCTATATTTCCTTTGAGTCATTGCTCATATAGATGTGTACTTTCTGTATGAAGTTTTTTTCCCATTTTATTTAGCTTTTATTTTGAAATAATTATATATTCACAGCAAGTTTCAAAGATAAAGGAAGATACTGTGTTTTGTTCTTCTTGTTGTTAGATGATGTCAAGTCGGTTCCAACTCATGGCAACCCCATGATAACAAACAAAGCATTACCTGGTCTTGTGCCATTCTCACAATTGTTACCATGTTTAAGCCTATTGTTGCAGCCACTGTGTCAGTCAATCTTATTGAAGGTGTTACTCTTTTCCATTGACCCTCTACTTTACCAAGTGTGATATCTTTCTCTGGGAACTAGTACCTCCTGATAACTTGTCCGAAGGACATGAGACAAAGTCTTGCCATTCTTGCTTCCAAGAAACTTTCTGTCTATACTTCTTCCAAGACAGATCGTTCATTTGTCTGGCAGTCTATGGTATAGTCAATATTCTTAACCAATATATGTGAATTCTGCTTTGGTCTTCCCTACTCATTGTTCAGCTGTCACATGCATATGAGGTGATTGCAAATACCATGACCAGAAGGCTAGTGGTTCAAACCCACCAGCCACTCCTTGGAAGGAAGGTTGGGCAATCTACTTCCATAGTGACACCACCTCAGCAACCCAAGGAGGGGTCGCTATGAGTCAGGTCCTACTCGATGGCACATAACAACAACTACAACATGACTTGAGTCAGGAATACCTTAGTCTTCAAAGTGACGTCTTTGCTTTTTGATACTTTAAAAGAAGTCTTTTGCAGATTTGCCCAAGGAAGTGCATCATTTTATTTATTTATCATCATTTGATTTCCTGACTGCTGCTTCATTGTGTTCATTGTGGATCCAAGTAAAATGAAATTCCTGACAGCTTCACCCTTTTCTCCATTGATCATGATGTTGCTTATTGGTCCAGTTGTAAGGATTTTTGTCTTCTTTATATTGAAGCATAATCCATACTGAAGTTTGTAGTCTTTGATTTTCAGCAGTGAATGCTTCAGGTCCTCTTCATTTTCAGCAAACAAGTTGTGCCCTCTGCATTTATTCATGAGTCTTCCTCCAGTCAGGGTGCCATATTTTTCTTCATGTTGTCCAGTTCTTGGATTATTTGTTCACAATGTTATCCATAATTTTATGATCCACACAGGCAAAGGCCTTTGCATAGTCAATAAAATACAGGTAAACATCTTTCTGATAATTTCTGCTTTCAACCAAGATCCATCTGTCTTGAATATCTGGAAGTTCACTGCCAATGTACTGCTACAACTGTTTTTTAAAATAATTATCTGTAGCAGAACTGTAGTTACATGCTGTATTAATGTTGTTTGGTAATTTCCACATTCTGATGGATCACCTTTCTTTGGAATAGGCACAAATATGGATCTCTCCAGTAGGTTGACAGGTAACTGTCTTCCAAATTTCTTGGCATAGGCAAGGGCAAACAACCAGAACAGGTAAAGGGGAGAGCCCCCAGGCAGGAAGCGGGAAACCAGGGCATGCGGCCGAAGCAGGTAGAGGCAAAGCGAGAAAGTGAGCGGAGCGGTTTGGAACAACTAAGGGATACAAATTTGTCTGTCAGTTTGTCGTACTGTGTTGGCTGCATGTTGCTGTGAGGCTGGAGGCTGTGCCACCGGTATTTCAAACACCTGCAGTGTTGCCCATGATAGATAGATTTCAGCAGAGCTTCCAGACTGAGACAGATTTGGAAGAAGGAAGAGGCTATCTACTTCTGAAAGAATTGGCCAGAGAAAACCTTATTAATAGCAGTGAAACACAGTCTGATATATTACTGGACAACTTTATGAATGGCCCTGAAACACTGTCTGATACAGTGCCAGAAGATAAGCCCCTTAGGTCGGAAGGCACTCAAAATATAACTGAGAAAGAGCTACCTCATCAGAGTAGAACCAACCTTAATAGTATAGATAAAGTAGACCTTTTGGGACCTCCATTTTCTGACATGGCACAAATCAAAATGAGAAGAAACAGCTGAAAACATCCATTAATAATAGGAACATGGAATGTATGAAATATGAATCTAGGAAAATTGAAAGTTGTCAAACATGAAATGGAATGCATAAAGATTGATATCCTAGGCATTCATTAGCTGAAATGGACTGGTTTGGGCCCATTCTCAATCAGACAACCATATGATGTACTATGCCAGGAATGACAAATTTAAGAGTAATGGCATGGCATTCGTCATCATAAAGAATGTTTCAAGATCTATCCTGAAGTACAATGCTGTCAGTGATAGGATAGTATCCATACATCTACAAGGATGGCCAATTAATACTACTATTATTCAAATTTATGCACCAACCATCAAAACCAAAGATGAGGAAATTAAAGATTTTTACCAACTTCTGCAGTCTGAAATTGGCCAAATATGCAATCAAGATGTGCTGATTATCATTGGTGATTGAAATGCAAAAGTTAGAAACACAGAAGAATCACCAGTAGTTGGAAAATATGGCCTTGGTGATAGAAATAACACTGGAGTTGCATGATAGAATTTTTCAAGAACAATGACTTATTCATTGCAAATACCTTTTTTCTACAACACAAATGGGGGCTATACATGTGGACTTCACCAGATGGAGTACACAGGAATCAGATTGACTGTATCTGTGGCAAGAGGTGATGGAAAAGCTCAATATCTTCAGCCAAAACAAGGCAAAGAGCTGATTGTGGAACAGACCATCAACTGCTCATGTGCAAGTTCAACTTGAAGTTGAAGACAATTAAAACAAGTCTACATGAGCCAAAATATGACCTTGAATATATCCCTCCTGAATTCAGAGGTCATCAAAAGAACATATTTGTTACATTGAACACCAATGATCGAAAACCAGAAGAATTTGAGGATGACATCAAGAACATCATTCATGAAGAAAGCAAAAGGTCATTAAAAAGACAGGAAAGGAAGAAAAGACCAAAAGGTCATTAAAAAGACAGGAAAGGAAGAAAAGATGTCAGAAGAGACTCTGAAACTTGCCCTTGAACAGAGAGTAGCTAAAGCAAATGAAAGAAATGACAAGATAAATATAGAGCTGAACAGAAGATTGCAAAGAACAGCTTGAGAAGACAAAGTCAATTATTATAGTGAAATGTGCAAAGACCTGGAATTGGAAAGCCAAAAGGGAAGAACAAACCTGGCATTTCTCAAGCTGAAAGAACTGAAGAAAAAATTTAAGCCTCAAGTTGCAATATTTAAAGATTCTGTGGGCAATATATCAAATGATGTAGAAAGCATCAAAAGAAGATGGAAGGAATACACAGAGTCATTGTACCAAAAATAATTTGTCTTCTAACTGAAATATGCATTCTTCAGCCAGTTCATTTCTTTTCTTTTGTCCTTCCAAAGTGTTACCTATCTCCATAATCTTAGTGTTCATCTTTTGGATATCTAATAGTTGTTTTTGTATGATTTCTAATTGTCTATCTATGAGTCAGGTCCGACTCGACGGCACATAACAACAACAACACAACATTTATTTTGTCATTTTGTTTTTGTATGAATTTCCCGAATACCTCAAAGGTATTTTCAGTCTTTCCTCACTTCTGTTTATGGTTTCCTTGAGCTCTTTGAAGGACACACACACACACACACACACACACACCAAAGGAAAAAAAAAAAACCTCAGTGCCGTCGAGTCGGGTCCAACTCATAGCAACCCCTTCTTGGGTTCCAAAGTGGTATCACTTCAGAAATAGTTGCCCAAACTTCCTTCCAGGGAGTGGCTGGTGGCGTAGTACCTAAGGCATTTGAATGCTAACCAGAAGGCTGGAGCTTCAAACCCACCAGACACTCCCTGGAAGGAAGGCTGGAGAATCTAGTTCTATAGAGATACCACCTCGGAAACACAAGAAGGGGTCACTATGAGTCAAATCACCTTGACAGCAGTGAATTTGGTTTGGTTTTATCTATCTGTCTATCTGTCTGTCTGTCTGTCTATCTTTCAGATTCCTTATCAGGTAGTTTTATTACTTGTTCTTCCTCAGGGAGATTTCCTAGTTCTTTATTTTGGTCACTTGCTTCCACTATCTTGTCTTATTTCTTTGAAGTTGTCTGTTGTCACCAAGACATTTTGAAGTTGTTGCTTTTGTTTTTGAGTGTGTGTTAGTGTGTTTCACCATGGGTTTCTTTTTCTTTGTTTCAATATATCCAGATGAGTGGGGCAAGTGTGCTTCTTTGGTTGTTTACTTGGCAGCATTAGGGAACTCCCCAGCTATCTCCGGATTGATGGAATAACTGATGGAATGTGGGTGCAGGTCTCTGTTTAACATGAAGAGGAGCTGCAGTTGGGATGAACAGATGTAGTCCCCCATCGGTCATTGATCCAGTGGTGTAGGAGCTGATAGTGGTGCTTGTCCATTGGGTGATGTGGTTGGTGAAGTACATAAACATGGCTGACTAGTGGAGTGTTAGTGTCCTCCTCCTGTTGGTTGAGGCAAGAAGAAGAAGAAAAAAGGATAATTTAAAAATAATACAAGGAGAAGGGAAGGAAAAAGAATAAAAATAAAAGAGAAAAATATGGAAAAAAAGAAAAGGGGGTGTGGTTAATCGGAAAGATTGGCAAAATGTAAGAAGACAAAGAGGAAGAGAGAAAAATAAACAGATAAAAAGAGAGAAATACTGGGAAAGAAGGAAGGAGTAAAATATTGAGGAAATAAGGAATCTTATAAGGAGAAGCTTTTGTAATTATGGTCAGCCGGCAGTCCTGAGAGCAGGCAGGTGCAGCAGAAACCACTGATCCACCAGGGTGTGTAACTGTGGAGGTGAAAGGAGCCTGGCATGAGTGGGCTTCTCCAGTAGAAAAGGCTGTAGATGTTTGCCTCTTGTGCTCAGTGTGAGAAGGATCAGCGAGTGACATATGCAGACAGAGGGATGGCTGCAGCCTCTGGGTCTGTCTGTTTGGGGTAGGTTGATGTGGATGGCTGCAGGGCATCCTTGACCACCAGCTTGGTAGTAGTGGGGAGAGGCTTTGCCCTATTCACAGGGAAGATGTACTTTTTGGAGTGGAGAGTGTGGCTCACCAGTTGTAATTCAATGGTGTGGGTCTGGCACCTTTCTGGTTACACACAGCATTTATCCAGCTCCTGCCCATACTCTCGTAAAATGCTGCCCTGGTACCATTTTTTCATCATACCCTAACACAGTCTTCAATTGCAGAGGTGGGAGGTACCTAGTGTGAGTGAGCCCCTTTGAGGGAGGAGGCTGCAGAGTTGTGCCTCTTGTGTTCAGTGTGATAAATTGTTCTCAGTCCCTTAGGCACCAAGCAGACGAGTTTCAGCCCCTAAGTCAGTCTGCTAGAGCTGGAGGTATTCAGGACTTGGGGTTGATGAGGGCAGGGATTCTCTATTTACTGAGTGTGTGGCTACAGAAAGGGTATTTAACCCTATGCACAGGGTAGGTGTGCATTTGTTAGATCAGAGTATACCCCTCCTATCTCGGTTCCTTGGCATGGATGTGTCACCTTTCTGGGTATGTTGTTGTTGTTGTTGTTGTTGTTGTGTGCCGTCGAGTCGGCCCCGACTCATAACGACCCCTCCTTGGGTTTCCGAGGCAGTATCACTACGGAAGTAGGATTGCCCATCCTTCTTTCTGAGGAGTGGCTGGTGGGTTTGAACCGCCAGCCCTCTGGTTAGCAGTCAAGTGCTTTAGCCACTATGCTACCAGAGCTCCTTTTTTGGGTGTACACAACCAATTGTCCAGGTCTTGCCCAGATTCAGTGAAATAAGAGATTGTTCCAAGCTCCGTTTCTTCAACGACCCCAGTACAGGCCTTTTGCCAGCCCAAATAGCTTCTGCTGTTAGTGAGTTGATTCCCTTTTTCATTCCCTTCTTCTCTCCATGGCTGCCTGCCATTGTTGTTGTTATGCGCTGTCGAGTAGGACCCGACTCATAGTGACCCCTCCTTGGGTTTCCAAGGCTGTGTCACAACGGAAGTAGATTGCCCACCTTTACTTCAGAGGAGTGGCTGATGGATTTGAATTGCCAGCCTTCTGGTTAGCAGTCAAGTGTCTTAAGCACCACCTGTGCCACTGTAACTCTGACCTGCTTTCCTGCACATTACTCTCCCAGCTCCCCCATGTCCCTGAATTACTCCCAATCTGTCTACACTGTGTCACTATTGCAGTGTAGATTCCATGAAGCTCCCCCATTCAGTGTCTGATGTTTCTATTCAATTTTTCCCCTATTACACCAGTTCCAGCCTCTGCTCTCTCCCCAGTCACTAATCTTGTTCCATTTCCCTTTCCATGCAGTGCTCAGTCTGATTCTTTATCTATTCATTTGGTGAGAAGATCGTTATTTGTACCTTACAGTTAATTTTTTGTGGATTTCTGTTATAAAGGGATTGGGCAGAATGTGTTAGCAGGGCACCATCTTGTCTTCCTTCACTTTAATTTTAATATAGCCATTCACACTTTATTTTATTAGTGTTTGCATAGTATCTTTTTCCTTCCGTTCACAATTTTTTGTAAGCATCATACAGTTGAGTCTTCTTTTTTATCCAAGGTGTCAATCTCTGTATTTTAGTCAGAATAATTGGGCCATTTATTTTAATGTTGTTATTGCTATGACATTTATTATAATGTTGTTATTGTTGTTATTACTATTTATCACATCTGTTCTTCCTTTTTTTCTTTCCCTGCCTTTAATTGTGTATTTTTCACTATTATGTTTTAGCTCCATCATTATTGGCTTATTAGCTAATTCCTTTTTTTGTATATGTGTGGTTGCTGTAAGGTTTACAATATGTATCTTTAATTTATTATAATCTATTTTCAAATAATATTTTATCATTTCATACATGTTATAAGAATCTTATAGTAATTTTCTTCTGTTTTCTAGCTTCCCTCTTTTGTGCTATTTTTGTCATATATTTTACTTATATATGTTATAAGCCCAAGAATATACTGTTGTTGTTTTATAAATGATCAGTTATCTTTTAAAAAGAGTTCTAAAATAAGAAAAATGTATTTTATATTTATTCTTGTGTTTCCAGTTTATAGTGTTGTTTATTTCTTTGTGTAGGTCAAGAATTCCACCTAGTATGATTTCTTTTCTGCTGTCTGAAGAATTTCTTTTAATTTTTCTTGTAATATACTTTTGTTGTTGTTGTGTACCGTCAAGTTGGACCCAACTCATAGTGACCCTTCCTTGGGTTTCCGAGGCAGTATCATTACAGAAGTAGATTGCCCAACCTTCCTTCCGAGGAGTGGCTGGTGGGTTTGAACCACTGGCCTTCTGGTTAGCAGTCAAGTGCCTTAGGCACTATGCTACCAGAGCTCCTTGTAGTACACTTTAGTTGGTGATAAATGCTCTCAGCTGTTGTACACCTGAAAACATCTTGTATTCTCTAGGTATAGAATTCTAGAACAACCTTTTTCCTTTCAGTGCTTCTAAAGTATGACTTGGTGGTTTGCATACTTTCATTCTTATCTTTGTTCCTCTGTGCATCTTATGTCTTTTTTGAGTCTGCTTAAAATTTTCTCTTATCAGCAATAAACTGATTTTCAACAAGTTGATTATAATGTAAGATGGGGTAATTTTCTTCATGTTTCTTATGCTTGGCATTCATTAGCTTCTTGGATTCGTGGGTGTATATGCTTAATTAAAATTAGAACATTTTAGCCATTATTTCTCCAGCTTTCTTTCCATCCCTCTTTTTTTCCTTTCCAGTTCTAATTACACATATTTTAGACAGCTTGATATTATCCCACAGGTCACAGATGCTCTGTTTACTTTTTCCAGACTTTATTTTCTGTTAAGTGTTTTATTTTATGGTTTCCATTGCTCTGCCTTAAAAATCACCAATTTGTCTTATGTCATTTATCATTCCTTAAATGGCATCTGAACTCTTACTAATCCTCTCCAATGTTTTCTTCTTGGTTGGTTGGTTGGTTGGTTTTCTCATTCCATAAGTTGTATTTTTCATATCTACAAGTTTACTTTGGGACTTCATACATATATACATACACACACACACACATATGTTGTTGTTGTTATGTGCCATCGAGTCGGACCCGATTCATAGCGACCCCTCCTTGGGTTTCTGAGGCAGTAGATTGCCCCATCTTCCTTCAGAGGAGTGGCTGGTGGGTTTGAACCACCAGCCTTCTGGTTAGCAGTCAAGTGCCTTAGGCACTATGCTACCAGGGTGTGTGTATATATATATATACACACACACACACGAAAATCATACATATATATATATGATTTCTGTTTGTCTTCTTACCATGTTCATGATTTTTCTCTATTTGAACATGTAGAATAATGGCTATTTTAATGGCCTTGGCTGATAATTTTATCATGTGTTGTTTCTTATTCAACTTTTTTCCTTGTTAAGAGTCATATATTTTTGCTTGTATTCATACCTTTTAATTTTTTAATTGGGTGCTAAATATTGTGAATTTTACATTGTTGAATGTTAGATTTTGTTATACTTTAAAATATATTTTTTGACCGTTTTTCAGATTCACTTAAATTACTTGAAATAACTTTGATCCTTTCAAGTTATTCTTTTAGGTTTTGATGTTGGATTAAGAGCACTTTAGTTTAGGGATAATTTGGTCACTCTCTTCAGGCAATCAGCCACTCCTCAGAAGGAAGGTTGGGCATCTACTTCCGTAGAGATACTGCCTCAGAAACCCAAGGAGGGGTTGCTATGAGTTGGGGCCGACTTGATGACACATAACAACAACAACAACAACTCAGGCAATATCTTCTGGTTATTTTACCCAGTACCCCATGTATCAGGAGATCTTTCCATCAAAACTGGTAGAAACAAAAACATCCCACCTGTGTATGCTTGGACTATTTTGCAGCCTACTTCCTTCTAGGGGTTCTTTCCCCAACCTCAAGTAGTTTCCTTAGATGCATGCACAAGTCAGTCCTCTTCTAAAGAGTCAAGGAAACCCTTCTGCAAATCTCCAAAATACTTTCTCTCTGTACAGCTATTTTCTTCTCTGGTATTTTACCCCACAAACTCTAGTTGCCATGAATTCCTTAAATATCCAGTTCTGTCTATGCAACTTACTAAGTCTGTCAGGCTCTGTTTTGTTGGTCTCTTATCTTTTTTTTTTTTTTTTTTTCACTATGGTTTGGAAACTCGCTCAGCAGTAAGCTGTGTTAATCATAGGCTTCACCTTACTTGTTTCCATATCCTCAAGAATCTTTGTTCTGCATTCCCTATTGTCTGAAGTCTAAGAACTGTTGTTTCATGTATTGCATGCAGTCTTCTAGATGTCCACTGTGTAGCAGTAAATTAGTTCCTATTGTTCCATCCTATCCAGATATGGACATCCCCAAGAAATCCCTTTGAAACCAAACATGTTGACCTTAATTCAAATTTAATGTTATTTGGCTTGTGATTTATTGACTTAAGGAGAGTAATCCTTTTTTAATATAATAAAATATTTTCTCTCCAAAAACTGTCAAATGGGCATTTTCAGCATACTGCTTCTGAAGCTGTATCTTCTCTCACTTTCAGGAACAATGAAACCTGGGCAGCTCACTCAGGTCCTAAATTATTTCCCATTTACAGGGTCCTGCTTTACAAAACCAGAACTGATCTTTACATTGGAACAAGGAGAAGATCCAACATTGTTAAAGGAAGAATTTATAAACAAAAACTCCCCAGGTGAGTTATTACATACTGCAGAAGATATTTGTGGGAAATTAAATCCAGAGTGATCAGCTAAAGGTCGGTAGTTTGAAATATTTTTTAGCACTCTTTTTTCTTTTTAAGAAGACTTTGTCTTTGGGATTTGAAAAATGATAGATACAATACAATGTAGAAAGGCAAGATCTAACAAAAGAGGTAGAATGTAAGCATGTTGATTTTCTTATCTTTAAAAGATAGGCGCTATCTGTATTATTTAAGTTGAAATATTATTTGTTGGATGTATAGTAACAGCAATAAGAGAAAACTAAGAAAGGTTATTAAAGCTTCTATAATTAGCAGTCAAAGGATCAGGAGAGAGAAAAAACAGTAATGTTACCATTATGTAATAGAGAATTGATAAATGCTGTCTAAATAGATTACTAAGGAATTACAACGCAAACACAACCATTGCCGTGGAATCAGATCCGACCCACAATACTATAATTATGATGATAACTACCAGAGATAAATACAACCTTCCTAATTATTAGAAGATAAATACACTTAAAAGAGCAGAGACAGACTTAATACTGAAATAATTTTTAATGAAGCTGTGTCAGTGGTCCCCAGGACCATCCAAGGTGTAATAATTTGCTATAAGAACTTACTGGACTCAGCACATGGATGTATGCATGGCTAAGGTTTATTACAGCAAAAAGATAGGAAGCAAACTCAGCAAAGAGAAAAGACAGAAAGGGCCAAGTCCAGAAGAAGCAAGGTACCAGGTTCTAAGTCCTCTCTCCGTGGAGTTCTATGTTGTTGTTGCTATGTGCTGTCGAGTTGGACCCGACTCATAGCGACTCCTCCTTGGGTTTCCAAGGCAGTATCATTATGGAAGTAGATTGCTCAGTCTTCCTTCCAAGGAGTGGCTGATGGGTTTGAATTGCCAACCTTCTGGTTAGCAGTCAGGTGCCTTAGGCACTACGCTACCAGAGGATACACTAATTTTCCCAGCAATGACAACATGTGTGACATGTGCAGCTCATTAGGGACTCAGTGCCCAGTGTATTTTCTAGGGACTGGTTGCATAGGCATCCTCTGTCTAGCATGTACCAAATTCCAGACTCCTGGAAGGAAAGCAGATGTTTAGCATAAATCCCATCGTACAAGCAGTTTAGGCACAGCAAACCACTGTTACCAATTCTGATAATATTATGAACCTTTTGAAAATCTACATTTCCAGATGCCAGCCAAGGGATAACTTTGCAAGCATGCCTTTATAAGCATAGCAGTCTCAGACCTGGATATTAACACTTTTTCTGTACAAAAACTGTGCAGATACATTATATTACATAAAGTAAGACAGACATACCTGCCATATCAACTAATGTACGTGGACTAAAGTTACTTAGTAAGAGAAAATGCTATCAGATTATGTCAGAGTATACCGAAAACTAATTTGGGAAATTTGAAATACAATTCTGAATTGTTAAGCTGATAAATACAAGAATAATTCACTGTTTATTTATCTAACTACTACTTAAAATTCAATTCTGGTTAAAAATAGATGATGAGAAGGACATTTTGATAATGCTAAAGAACACACAAAAAAGAAATATAAAGTTTTGAAAATCTGTGTAGGAAATGAATTATTACCAAGATTCATAAAACAAAAAAATGCAAGAAGATAAGGAAAGGTACATTAGATATAGTAGATCATAATATGCACTGGTATAAAATCTGTACTCTGGAAATGAAGAATAAACCTTTTAAATGGCATTGGGACCTTAATGAGATATAAAAGTATTTGATGGAAATATCAATAAATTCCACAAAGAGGAAATATAATTCAAAAAACTATAAATTGCACACAATATGATAAAAGTTACAATCCCTCTATCTTAACTTTAGTAATGAATATATGTGTGTATGTGTGTGTTTCTAAACCTTGTTTGATCAAAGAGTAAATCAAAATTGTACACTATCCAGAAAATTATAAAAAGAAAAAACATATTAGAACCTTTGGGCTATAGATGAAACAGTTCTTAGAAAAATTTTTTAGTCTTGTGTGCTTATTTTAAAACACAAGGAAAGTTAAAAAATAATAATAAGAAGAAAACCGAAAGGAGTAATAAAGATAAAACTATAATGGTATAAATTATAAGGTCAAAGATAGTTCTTGGAATAAAAATAATTTAATTAAATAGCTAACCTCAGCTAGAAAAAAGGAAAGAAACCACTATATTAGAACTAATTTTGCAGATATACCTAGCAATCGTAGTGCAAATATTTTGAAAGAAATATGATGAAAGACATGCAATATATTGAAACAAAATTTTTCTTGAAAAGTTTGAGGGTCATTAACCAAAACTAAAATAGTGGGATATATTATGTTCATAGATTAGAATTCTCTATTTTGAAACCCTTAATTTTTCCCAATGCGTTTATATGTTCGATATAATACCAATAGTGTGAAAGAACTCTCTGGATAATTTTGGAGTTTGCTACTTTTTAAGGGCCACTGATTTAATTTATGCTACAGAGGTGTGGAAAGTATATAAGAATGAGAAATGTATTTAGGAAGAGATAAAGCTGCATCAAATATAGTTTATATCATTTAAGATGCCATTGATTAAAAAGTGAACCAGTATTTTAGGCATAACCATGAGAGAGAAATTATTGCTCATATAACCATGGACATGCCAGTAATTTTAAATGCATTCTAATTTCAATAAATTCATTTTCTTAAAACACCATGTGTCTTATGTATCCATTGCTTGAATAATAAATGGTACAGGCAGTAACTACTTTCAGATTTTAAAATAAATGGTGCTTTAGTTAGTGGAGAAAAGCCTTTGTGTTTGTTTGTTTTAAGCTTTGGGAAAAATAGTGTTGCCCTGAAGAGCATCTACATTCTAAGTAGTGTTATAGATGGAATTCAGGATAACTTACAGGAAGAGTGTAAGTACACGATATTGTTAGAAATGAACCATTGTTGGAAATGCACCATTATTGGTCAAGGACTACAGCAGAAAATATGGTGGACTAGTGGAATGGTAGTTAGAACGAGTAATGAGCATGCAGTTAGTGATCACATCTCTTAAATCTTTTATCTATTGGTACTTGGGGTAGTGGACTCAAGGCCTTCAATTGTTTTTAATATAAACCTGACATTACTGTGTGGGAAATAGGTAGCAGCAGAGCAATAGCAATCAAATATACATAGGAAATTTGTGATCAATAAATACAAAAGATACTAGTAAAGTTTCTAGGACCAGGCTGAAACATAGTATCCTTAGGTTCTGACACTCAGTAGAAATGAAAAAAGTTGAAAAGTAGATGGGAAGCAGAATTAAGGTTTGGATAATGGTGCAGTGATGTCATTAACTGCACCTTTATCATTTCCTGGTTGCCAGTCACTTCTATGACACTTCCTCTGTCTGACATTAATAACCCAGGGTTAGATTAGACCTTATCCCTGGCCACCTGAGGCCAAGCCATCAGGTTCCTGCCATAGGCTCAGGAGTTTGCATAACTTCCTGCACTTCAGACCAGCCAGCCCCTGCCTCTTCAGAGGCCCCTAGGACCAGGTCACAAGCTAGAAGGATTGTATCCTTCATCAACTTCCCATGCAGCTTCTCACTAACCACCAGCCACCCAGAGCTGGTATCATCACAAGTTAAGATTCTGTCTTGCTAGCCCCTACTGGGTCATTGCCTCCTGTAAATTCATTAATTTTCTATAACAGCTCACAAACTTCTTGGAGACTATTATCTATACTTAACAGTTAAACCAAAAACTAAACCCATTGCCATCAAGTAGATTCCGACTCATAGTGACCCTTGTTAGGTTCCAAGGCAGTAAATCTTTCAGGAAGTAGGTGGCCCAGTCTTCCTTCTGTGGAGTGGCTGGTGGGTTTGTACCACCAACCTTCTGGTTAGCAGTCAAATGCCTTAGCATTGTGCCTACTTGTTATAAACATAAAGCATACAAGTGAGAAAATTCATCAGGGAATGTCTAGGAGAGTTCCTTGCAGCACTAGCCTTCCATTGTCCCCTGGAACATGCCACACCCTCTCCCTTGTATGACTATTGCCACCAACCCAGGAAGCCCTAAAGAGAAGGCTCCAAGATCCAATGTCTCTGAATCATTGAGGTCTCAATATGCATGACTGGGGCCTTAATGCAAAGTTATGATCAGTCCAGAAAATGAATAAGTGTGACTGACTGCCTCATGCCCATCCTTCATGAAAACTGTTGCCAGGGTGGGGCATGTGTAGACCCATACTTATTTACACATGTTTAAGTGTTGCCTGGCTATTTCGGAAAACAAAGAGCACCTTAATTGCTCAGGCTATTACAAGGACCATTTTCAGAAAGCAGAGACAAAGCTTAAACCAAGTTCTCTGTCTCATGGAAGGGGCAACATTAGTTTTGGGAAGATTACTGAGCAAATTGTAGGAGGAAAGTTAAGATTTGAGGATCAAGAGAGGTTCACTATTAAACAACCCTGACATAATAAACCAAGAGACAAGAGTCAGGATAGGACACTGAATCCAATCCAAGTGGAAAATTGGCTTTACTCCCATCAGTTCTACACTTCCACTTATACACTTATATTCCTGTGAATGACACAACAGAGAGAATTAAAGTGATGCTTATTGGACTATTTCTTTTAACATGAGGAAATACCCACTGCCATTGAGTTGATTCTGACTCATAGCGACCCTGCAGAACAAAGTGGCACTGCCCCATAAGATTTCCAAGGCTGTGAATCTGTGGGAAGAGACTGCCTCATCCTTCTTCCATGAAGTGGTTGGTAGGTTTAAATCACCAACGTTTTGGTTAGCAAGTGGATGCATTAGCTATCCTTAACATGAGGAATTTGTACAATTACACATTTATTTTGGTTTTAATGTATTGAACACAAAAAACTAGAAATCCAACTGGAAGCATGTAAACTGACAAGTATCCTATCATTGATATCTATATGTGACTGGGTAAGAATCTGTACACTGATGTTCCTTCCTAATCTAAACCCTGTCTCTGATAACCCTTGAAAGCTCTTCTCTATTAATTTCTCTTGTCATTCTACTTAATGCTTATCATCTTTGTCAAATCCATCCCATGTTCTTGTTTTTCTTTATCCAAGACCCAGTTCTCAAATAGCATCCATTCTCAATTCATTGTTCATTTTCTTTATATCCTCTTCTCTTCCCAACTGTATAATTACATTTACAAATTACCTATGTAGATTAATTTTAGGTTTTCTGCTACTGAAAGTTTGTTTTTACAAAGAAAGGTAGGGAATGTACACTTGAAATTACTTTATTGTTGGGAGACTGAATCAGAAACCAAGGAGTATAATACATAATAGGGGCTATGTAAGCTCATTCCATAAGAAGTGTATCAAGCAACATAAAATATTTTTCATTTTCTCATTTTTAGAAAACTTCCAACATGGTGAACTTATAGAAAAGACATCAGGAAACCAAAGCAAACATCTGTGGCAAGTTTTATTCAACAACAAAACAGTGCATGCAGAGCAAGAAAACATTTCAGGAAAGCAATGTAATCTGGGCACGACCATTTTTCCTTCAAGAAAAATGCCTTGTGAATGTGACACTGCAGGACCTACTTACCAGGATCTCAGCTCCTTGTCTTCACACTGTAAATATTCAATTGAGAAGGCTGATGAACTTAATGCATGTGAGAAATGGCTCCTCAGTATTAAGGATACTAATACTGGAGAGAATTTTTTTAATTATGAAAATATGAAAGCCTTTAGTCATGTGGAAGAACTTACTCAGTCTCTTTCAAATCAGCCTTTGGGCCAAGCTTTTGAATATAATGAATGTGAAGGAGCTTTCCTTGGGAAAGCTGCTCTTGTTACATCTAAGAATGCCCACACAAAAATGAAATTTTATAAGTACAATAAATTTAGAAAAAACCCATGTGATAAATCAACCCTTACTGTTTCTCAGAGCATTCATACAGAGGAAAATAGTCACTGTGACTTTAATGGATATGAATGTAATGCAAATGAGAATTTCAGTAGGTTCATTCAACTTCAAAGAACTAATACAGGAGGGATAACTTGCAGCCAAAAACCATACTTTAGAGACCATCAGAGAACTCAAACAAGGTTAAAAACCCTTGAATGTGAGAAAAACTTCAGAAAATGTGAGAAAATTCATGTAGGCATGAAACCTTTTGAACATGAAAAGTGTTTCAGCAATAATTCAACCCTTCCAGTGCATCAGAGAACTCACACAACAGAAAAATCCTCTGATTATAATACATATACAAAGACATTCAGTGACCCGTCAGCTTGCAGAGTACATCAGAGAACTCCCATAAAAGTAAAGCCCTATCAGTGTAATGAATGTGGGAAGTTCTGCTCTAGGAAGTCATACCTTACTGTACATAGCAAAACTCACACAGGTGAGAAACCCTATGAATGTCATGAATGTGGGAAGGCTTTCAGTGAGAAGGCACGCCTAAGAAAGCATCAAAGAACTCACACAGGAGAGAAACCCTATAAATGTGATGGATGTGAGAAAGCTTTCAGTACAAAGTCAGGCCTAAGAATACATCTGAGAACTCACACAGGAGAGAAGCCCTTTGAATGTAATGAATGTGGGAAAGCTTTCAACTATAAGTCAATCCTCATAGTACATCAGAGAACTCACACCGGGGAGAAACCCTTTGATTGTAATGCATGTGAGAAATCATTCAGCCATATGTCAGGCCTAAGAAATCATCAGAGAACTCACACAGGGGAAAGACCATATAAATGTGATAAATGTGGGAAAGCTTTCAAACTGAAGTCAGGCCTAAGAAAGCATTATAGAACTCACACAGGGGAGAAACCATATAAATGTGATCAGTGTGGGAAAGCTTTTGGTCAGAAATCACAACTCAGAGGACATGACAGAATTCATACAGGAGAGAAACCCTATACATGTAATCAGTGTGGGGAATCTTTCAGCCAGAAATCAAACCTCAGAGTGCACCAGAGAACTCACACTGGGGAGAAACCATATAAATGTAATGAATGTGGAAAATCTTTCAGGCAGAAATCAAATCTCAGAGGACATCAGAGAATTCACACAGGGGAGAAACCATATAAATGTAATGACTGTGGAAAAGCTTTCAGTGAGAAGTCGGTCCTAAGAAAACATCAGAGAACTCACACAGGAGAGAAGCCCTATAATTGCAACCAATGTGGGGAAGCTTTCAGCCAAAAATCAAACCTTAGGGTACATCAGAGAACTCACACAGGGGAGAGACCCTACAAATGTAGTGAATGTGGAAAAAACTTCAGCCAGAAATCAAGCCTTAAAGAACATCAAAAAGCCCACATAGAGGATTAAAATATGATTATAAATAATGTAAGAAAACTCTCAGCCAGAAATCAAACCTCACAGTATATCAGGGAACACAAGAGAGAAACCTTATGAATAGAATAAATGTCTGTATTTCCTCTGCAAGATGTCTACCTTCACAAAACATCAAGAAAATTTACATAGGAGAGAAATTCTTGAAATGCATTTCATATGGGCAGTCTTTTGGCCAGAGTACAGTCCTTACTGGATATTAGTAAATGCACCCAAGAAAGAAGTTCTATAAAGATAATGAATATGGGAAACATTCCGTGTGAATACAATCCTGAGAATACTCACACTGCAGAAAAACTCTGAGGAGTTATTATGTGAAAACTGCTTGCCAGCATAAAAACTCATTCATCAGAAAAATCACAAAGCACATCAAGAATGTAATGAATGGAGACCAGAAGAACTAGATGGTGCCCAGCTACCAATGCCAACCACTCAGGAGAGGGTCAAATCTGGAAATCCTGGATAGAGTGGGAGGAAAAACATGGAACAAAATCCAAAAACTCAATAATGACCAGAATTACTGGTCAGATGGAGTCTGGTGAGACCCCCTGATACTATGGCCCTGGGATACATTCTGGGCCTGGAATAAAGCTCACTCCCAGGGGCTGGCTCTCAGCCCAATAATTAACAAGATGTACATGCAGAACCACTCAACCCAGGGTGACACACGTACATACTCCGTGGAAATACATCCCTTAGAGCAATAGACCATGGGCACCAGAGGGTCAGCATTCACATGGAGGAAATGCAGAACAAGCAGGAGTCCATAACTATGAGGGACACAGAGGGAAGGTTACTGGGCAGGGAGGGGAGCAGACTGGATTAGGGTTGGGCATAGTAAATGGGGAGTGAAACTAAATGTACACGCACGTAACATTGAATGTAAAACAACCCCTTAAAATATTTTTTTTTTTTTAATTGTGATTCAGGTAAAAGTTTACAGAGCAAATTAACTTTCCATACAGCGGTTCACATATACTGTGTCTCATGACATTGACCACAGTTTACCACAATGCAACAGCTCCTCTCCCACTTCCTCCCCATAGTTACCTCTTCCCTGTGTCCATCCCTCCATAC